CAGGTGGCCGAGGGAGGAGGCCACAGACGGCACACGCTCCCTTCCACACTCAGGGGTGACCCCCCGGCCCGGGCCCCGGCCCTGCACACAGCAGAGTCCTCACCTGAGGGCACAGCCCACAGGTGCGGCCCAGGCTCCCTCTCCCCGGCCCGCACCCAAGTCCCAACAAGTCCTGGGGGTGTCGCCCTCCGGGCCTCACCCTCCCCAGGCTGCCTCTTCAGGGGGACGTTCCTAGAACACCCAACATTCGAGCTGCACCCGGCCCCCGGGCAGGCCGACAGGGCGCGAGCACACCAGTCGGCAGCTGTGCTCCAGCTTCAGGGACCCGGTGCCACTGGCCAGGTGGGGATGCGCCCAGAACCCTCTGGAAAGATGCCCAGGACTGGGGACCAAGGCCCGGGAGGCGGGGCCTTCCCGCGCCCCACCCGGGCTCCCAAAGCCCGTGGCTGCACCAGCAAGCGCAGGCCGACCCCAGCGGAGCCCGTCAGGACAGCGGCAGGAGCCCCAGGAGGCCCCACAGTCAGTCCAGGGCCTCCATCCTGCCCCCACGCCTGCCACAGCCTGAGGGGGGCAGGAACCACAGTCCAGGGTCCCCTCAGGGGCCAGTGCAGAGGTGCGGGTGCTGGCGGGGTCCCGAGAGCCCCACCCCACCATGCTCGGGGCCACCCCGCCTGCTCCACCGCACATGAGGAGGCCGCAGGACCCAGAACCCTGCCCCGGTGCCCCACCTGCCCCCCGCGGCAGCGTCCTCGGGGGCCCCTGCGTCACTGCAGGTGGAGCAGGGCTCCCGGCACTGGGGGGCTTGTGGTCTTTGTTGGGGCCCGCGCCGGCCTGGTCCTTCCGAGAGCCTCACCTACTTGCCAAATCCTGAGTGTTCCTGACGCCCCTCTGCCTGGCCCACCCGTCCTGCTGGCTTTGGGCAGCGCTGCTGCTGCCCAGTGGGGTCACCCTAGCCCAAGAGCCCCTCGGCCTTCGGGCTCTGTGGGGGCCCAGCGGGGCTGAGCATTCGAACCGCAGCTTCCCAGGAGGGGCTGCTGAGCATGGGCAGCGGCGCGTCCCAGGGCAATGCTGGCAGGGAGACAGCCACGTGACGGCGGCCACCTCTGCAGGCAGCAGACGGCCACCGAGGGCTGCCCGGACATAGCGGCCTCCCCAGTGGCCCTGCCTGGCCATCGCCACCGGCCTCGCGCAGGCCGGACGGCACAGGACCCAGCCACTGCGTCCGCACTGGCAGCGCTGGAACGGCCCTAAGGCGCAGCCCGGGCTCCCCTGCGCACCCCCGACCCCCCGACCAAGCAGTCCCCTGACGGAGCCAGGGCGCAGCAGAGCTTTCCTCCATGTCAGCTCGCAGGATGGAGTCGGCTATGTTGTTCCTGCGGCCTGCCATCACGCATTCACTCAGCAAACACTGACCGTGCCTTGCCCAGGGCCAGCCCGGATAGCGGCTAAGATCCCAGGCCCGGGGCTGACTCGCCACAGCACCACTTGCCCCTGGGGCCCCGAGGCCTGAGGGCGCACCCCTCCCCATGAGGCCCGAAGAGGAGGCCTGGGAGGCAGGGAAGGGCAGAGGCAGACGGAGGGACCCAGCGGGTCACAGGCAGCCCCGGGGCCTGGTAATTAGACACAATTACCCGCCTCTGTCCTCCCCGGCCCAGGCTCTGAATGGCAGCGCCCGTGCCGCCACATAACTGTGGGGTGACGGAGACCGCTCACTCCCCCCAGCTCAGCGACTGCAGCGCTGCCACGACACGCCCGGGATCCTCGCCCGGGAAGTGCAAGTCACTTCCGCCCAGATGCCCGCGCTGCTCCGCCTGGCCGCGCCCACCCGCCCGGCCCCCTGCGGGAGCTGACGGCTGGCCAGGGCAGCTAGCACCAGCCTGAGCAAGGTGCCGCCCCGAGGCTGGCGGAAGACAGGGTCCCGAGGCGCCACGCTGCAGCCGCTGGGCAGGCCTGGCACGGGCGCCCTGGGCCGCGTGGCCAGACAGCGGGTAAAGCCAGGAGGCCTCTCCCGCCAATCACCAGTCCTTCCCACAGGACGGCAGCCCCATTGGCCCCTGGGGACAGGCTCACCCTCGGCGCCCAGGGTGCGGCCTCCACAACTGGCAGGCTGCTCTGGCCCCCAGGCGTAGCGATGGGGCTCTGCGGGGCAGGTGACCGGGAAGCCCCGACATTGAAACAGGCCCCGGTGTCCCATCCAGCGAGGTCCAACGGCTGAGGGCCGGCCCACGTCCTGACCCCCGTCTCAGCCTGGAAGGCCCTGAGCAATGCAGAACCTTCAGGCCGCACAGACGGGCGCTGTGTGAGGCTGGGCAGAAGCCCACGGGCCAGATGAGCTCCCCGGGGACCAGCGGGCACCGACAGACGGGGGAGCTCCCGCGGAGGGCCACGACCTGACCCTGCGCCCAGCCTCAGGGGCAGGGAGCACCGGCTGGCCCCCGGCGGAGTGACGGAGCTGATCCTTCACCTACGGAATCTCGTGGGGAGGAGGCCGGCGGGGGCGGGAGGACGACCACACCGAGGCCCACGGGGCCGCTGCCCGGCACAGGCTGCCAGCTCTGGGAGGCGGCCGGGTCTCTGTGCAGCGAGACCCCAGCCCGGCCCCCAGCCCCGCGCCACCCGCACGCTGCAGGCCCGGGGCAGACACCCAGGCGGGCGGGCAGCGGCCTCAGCCTCGGCGCCGCGGATGAAAGGTGCCCGCCCCGCCAGAGTCCTGATCGCCGAGAGCGGACGGGCGCGAGGCTGGGCTGGCGTTAGTCACCGTGGCTTATCGCGCTCGGATGTCACTTGGATTAGGCTTTTTTTGGAATCGTAGGAAGGTAACGGACGTGTGTGTGCACGCACCTACACGCGCACGCCCAGCAGCGGCGGCGAGAAAGGGAAGCAGCAGGCTGGGGGAGGGGGGGCAGGGCGGGGGCCGGCGGCTCTCTGGGCTCAGCAGAATCCGGGTTCCCGGCAGCTCCTCCTGCCCGCCTGTGTCTACGCAAGTGTCTTTTACTGCCCGCTCCCTTTTCTAATAAACCTGCTCTTTGAACCTAAAAACAAAAAAGGACTGCGGGTTGCCCAGAAGGCGGGGGGCTGCCCGTGCCCCGGCCCCGCTCCCGGCCCCGCGGTGACCGCAGGTGCTTGCTGAGACCTACTGTGTGCGGCGCCCAGGCCGGGACAGCAGAGGCCCCACACGGAGGCCGCCCTCGTCCCTGCTCAGCTGGGGCCCAACCTGCAGGCCTCTCGGGGCACCCCCTCGCCCTCTGCCGCAGCACGTGGGGAGTGGGGGGCAGCTGACGACACCTCACATGGGGATCTCATCCCAGGGCTTTCCGTGAACCTCTGCGTCCAGGTTGCAGGACGAGGACAACGAGCGAGCCGTCGCCCCGGCGGACTTGGCCGCTGAGTCGCGGGGCCCGAGCGAGCGGGTCTGGCTTCCTCTGCATCGAGGCTCGACGCAAGGCACGCCGGCTCCCTGGCCATGTACCCCAGAACGGGACCGGACCCCAAGCCTGGCACCACTGGCCTCCCAGCAGCCTCGGCACAGGGCTCGGAAGGGAGAGCTGGGAACCTGCCCCCTGCAGCCGGGGGCGCACAGTCACCCGGGACGGCCTCGGAGCCCCGCGCTGTTCACACAGCAAGTGTCCTGAGACCCCCACGTGGGCCCTGCTTTCCAGGCCGCAGCCCACCGGGGACACCAGAGGCCCCGGGTTCTACCTTCTGGGTAGTACCTGCCCAGAACTCGGTAGAACTCTGCCTGAAACCCCACCGTCCCGCCAGCGCGGGGCCCGCATTCCCGCTGCTCCAGGCTCACAAGGCGTCCGGCTCCAGCAGGCCCGGCCCCCTGCAGCCCAAGGGGCAGGAAGGGTGAGCGCCAAGTCGCTGGCGTGGAGACTACGCCCTCCGCTCCGCCGGCGGCCACAGAGCAACGGGGGCAAAACGAGAACCCACAGGGGTTCTGGAAGGAGACTCCCTAGAGACCGCCACGCGGAACATCCACCCCAGAGGACAATGGCCCGGGGCTGTGCACACGCGCTCACAGCTCCCTGTCGGCCCCTGCAGGGCCCGCGCTGCCCACGCCTGCGGGCAGCCGCCCTCGCAGACCCAGGCCAGGCCCGGTCAGGAGCCCGGCAGCCGAAGCCACCCCGTCCGCTCCCGGGCCCTGCCGGGAGGCTGCGCCGTCTCAAAGAGCCAGACGCGGACTCCTGGGGAGACTGGTCTTGTAACTAAGGCCACCCCCTGCCTCTGGGGTCAAGGGCCCCGGGCCCCCAAGGAGCCGCCAGACGCACCTCAGTTGTTTCCCAGCCCTTCCCCCAACTCCCTCTCTCTCCCGCCTCCCAGTTCCCACGCCCGCTGCGGGGCCCTCTCCCCGGCCCCCGCCCCGCCTGGCCCGCAGGGCCGCCACCTGGAGAGCTGGGCCTTCCCTGCCAAGCTGCCGGCCGGCGAGCCGACGGCCCCGGTCACCCCGCCTGGGAGGGCAGGTGGGGCTCCCTCACCGGCTCCACCACCGACCTGGGCAGGCCCCGCGGTAACGCCCAAATTATAAGCCCGCGTCCAGGAGCCGAAGCCAAGATCAAATGAGGCGAGGCTGTTCAAAGGCTCCCACACAGCCGGCGCGCACGGCCCGGCAGACCCGCGCAGACGGCACGGGCGTGACTCAGGCCCCAGCCGGCAATTGCCAACGGTCCCACCGGGGACTAATTGGCACCCACGGCCGGCAGTGACCTTTGATCTTTCCAGACAGGGGCGCAGCCTCATCAGCACCCGGCCACGCGGATAACCCCGACGCCAGGGCGACAGCACATGTCAGGAGGCGCGGCCGCCGCGGAACGCGCCAAGCAAACCCGAGGGAAGGGGGCCGGGGCCGGGGCCGCGAGGAGCAGGGTCCACACGCGGCAGCCAGCCCTGCTGCTGACCGGAGGCCTCGAATCCCCAGGCAGGGCCCCAGGCAGTCCCCAGGGCTGTCCAGGCAGCCGCGGGGGGCCTCCTCCCTGCCCCCACCCCAGCGGGCCACTCACCAGAGACAGACACCTCCATGAGGGCCTCCAGCGGCCGGTTGTTGTCCAGGTCCCGGCTGAGCTGCAGGTCGCCTGTGGCCGGGTCCAGCAGCAGCAGCTGCAGCTCGTTGCCCCGCAGGAAGGTGTAGCGGAGGCTGTCGGAGAGGTCGGGGTCGTGGGCCGGCACGCGGCCGATCACGCCTGTGGGGAAGCTGCTGGACTTGTTGGTGACGTAGTTGTTGAAGAGGATCTGGAAGTCGGGCAGCGCCGGCGGGTTGTCGTTCTGGTCCACCAGGCGGACGCGCACGGTGGCCCGGCTCACCAGCGGGGCGGACGTGGCCTGCACCACCAGCACGTACTCCCGCCGCGCCTCGAAGTCCAGCTCCACCAGGGCCCGCAGGTCCCCGCTCAGCAGGTCCAGCTGGAAGACCTCGGGCACGTTCCCCTCCACGATCTGGTACATGATCTGGGCGTTGGGGCCCTCGTCGGGGTCGTCGGCGCGGATGCGCGCCACCACCGACCCCACCGGGCTGTTCTCCTCCACCAGCAGCTCCAGCTCGTCCCGCTCGAACACCGGGGGGTTGTCGTTGATGTCCAGGACGGTCACCTGGACTTCCACGGAGGCGCTCAGGGGCGCTGGGCTGCCCCGGTCCACGGCCAGGGCTCGGAGGGTGTAGGCGGCCACGTTCTCCCGGTCCAGGCGGCGCTGGGTGCGAATCACGCCGGACGTGGGCTCGATGTAGAAGTCCCCGTGGCCGTCGTCACCGCCCTGAAAGGTGTACAGCAGGCGGCCGTTGGGCCCCGAGTCCCGGTCGCTGGCCGAGACCTGGAGGACGCTGGTGGACGGGGGCGCGTCCTCCAGCACGGAGCCCTGGTAGAGGTCCCGCAGGAAGCGCGGCGCGTTGTCGTTGGCGTCCAGGATGAGGATCTCCAGGGACGTGGTGTCCGACTTCTGGGGGATGCCGTTGTCCCGCGCCGTGATGGCCAGCGTGTAGGCCGCCTGGTCCTCGTAGTCCAGCTCGGTGGTGGTGTAGATGGTGCCCGTGTCCGCGTCGATGCGGAACTGCGGCACCGGGTCCTCCAGCACGTAGGTGATGCGTGCGTTCTCGCCCGTGTCCTCGTCCGTGGCGCCGATGGTGGCGATGGACGTGCCCACGGGCCGGTCCTCGCTGACGCTCACCGTGTAGTGGGAGCTCTGGAAGACTGGCCGGTGCGTGTTGGCGTCCGTGACATTGATGAAGACCTGCGCGGTGTGCTGGCGCGTGCCATCCGACGCCGTCACGGCCAGCACGTACTGGCGCTCCTGCTTGTAGTCCAGCGGCAGCGCCAGGGTGATGAGGCCGCCGCCGCTCTGGCTGCTGAGCGCGAAGCGGTTGCGCGTGTTGCCGCCCGTGAGCTGGTAGGTGATCACGCTGTTGGCGTCGCGGTCGTGGGCGCGCAGGGTCAGCACGCTGCTCCCCACGGCCGCGTCCTCGTTCAGGCGCAGCTCGTACACCGGCTGCGTGAACGCGGGGTCGTTGTCGTTGACGTCCAGCACGGTGATGGACACGCTGGCCGAGGCGCTCATGGGCGGCGAGCCGTGGTCCACGGCCTCCACGCCGAAGCTGTAGTGCTCGACCTCCTCGCGGTCCAGCGCCGCGCGCACGGTGATCCAGCCCGAGCTGTTGTGGATCTGGAACGGGAAGGCGGGGGCCGCCGCGGGGTCTCCGGGCACCGCCGGGCCGCCCCCCGCGGGGGCCGCCGCCGTGTCCACCAGGCGATAGCGCAGGCGCGCGTTCTCGCCCGCGTCCGCGTCCACGGCCTGGATGTGCAGCACCGAGTGTCCGACGGGCACGTTCTCCAGCACGGCCGCCTGGAAGGGGCTGCTCACGAAGATGGGCGCGTTGTCGTTCACGTCCAGCACCTGCACCGAGACCAGCCCCGAGGAGTTGATGAGCGGGGGCCGGCCGCCGTCCTGGGCCTTGATGCGCAGCGTGTACTCGCGGATGGCCTCGAAGTCCAGCGGGTTGATCACGTCCAGGCTGCCGCTCAGCGAGTGCAGGTAGAACTGGCCGCGCAGGTTCCCGCTGATGATGCTGTAGTGGATGGCCGCGTTCTGGCCCTGGTCGCGGTCGCTGGCCTGCACGCGCAGCACGGGCGTGTTGACCGCCACGTCCTCGGCCACGCGCACCACGTAGCGCTTCTCGCTGAACTGCGGGTAGTTGTCGTTCTCGTCCTCCACGGCGATGTGCACGGCGGCCGTGGCGCTGCGCGGGCCCGGGTCGCGGCCCTGGTCCGTGGCCTCCACCAGCAGCCGGTGCGCGGCCGCCTCCTCGCGGTCCACGGGCGCGCGTGTGCGCACCACGCCCGAGCGCGCGTCGATCTCGAAGACGCCGCCCGCGCCCTCGAGCAGGCGGTAGCGCATGTTGGCGTTGGAGGGCGCGTCCCCGTCGGTGGCGCGGATGGTCAGCACCTCGTAGCCCAGCTCCAGGTTCTCACGCACGCGCTCGCGGTACTCCGCCTGCTCGAACACCGGGCTGTGGTCGTTGGTGTCGCTGACCGTGACGGTGAGGTAGGTGGCGGCCGAGCGGCGCGGGGACCCGTGGTCCACGGCGCTCACCTTGAGCACGTGCGTGTCCTTGGTCTCGCGGTCCAGCTCGCGCGCCGTGGTCACGGCGCCCGTGGCGGGGTCGATGAGGAAGAACGCGCCCGAGCGCTCGTCGAACAGCGGCTCCATCTGGTAGCGCAGGCGCCCCGCCTCGCCCTCGTCGGGGTCGTGCGCCCGCAGCTCGATGACCGCGGTGCCCGCCGGCTCGTTCTCGGGCACCGACACCTGGTAGCTGGGCAGCGGGAACTGCGGGCTCGTGCTGCCGCCGCCGGCGCCCCGTCGGGCCCGCCGCGGCGGCCCCGGCCCCGGCCCCAGCCCCTGCCCCGCCGGGGGGCGCGTGCCCGGGGCCGCCTCCAGCGCCAGCTCCACCCGCGCGGCGCCGGCCGCGCGCCTCAGGGCGCACAGCAGGCGCAGGCGGGCCGAGGCGCCGGGCGCCAGGCAGACGGGGCGGCGCGGGCAGCGGGCCCCGGCGCGCGCGGGGCAGCGGCAGGCGGGGAAGGCGGTCAGGGCGGCGAGCGCCGAGTGCAGCGCGGCCCCTTCGCCGCCGCGCGCCGGGAAGCACCGCGCCGCGCCCGGGCCCGGCACCGCGAGCACCGCCCGCGCGCGCAGCTCCGCGCTCGGGGCGAGTCCCCGCCGGGGCCGGGGCCGGGCGCCGCCGCCGGGGCCGAGGGCGCGCGCGCGCAGGCGGAGGCGCAGGGCCGTCGGGGCGGCGCGGGCCGCCGGGCGGACGAGCGGCGGCGGCGGGCGCCCCCCCAGGCGCGCGCAGCCCCGGGGCCCCGCGCCCGGCCCGCGCCGCCGCCCCGCCGGCCGCCCCTCGCGGCTCACGTCCAGCGGCTCCCGCGGCGCGCGCGCGGCGTCCGGCGCGGAGGTCCACGCGGGCCCCAGGGCGAGGGCGCGGGCCCCGCCGGGCACGCGCAGCTCCCAGGCGGCCGCCCGCAGCCCCGGCGCGGACAGGGCGGCGGCCGCGGCCAGGAGCAGCAGCGCGGGCAGCACGGGCGGCGGCGCCATGGCCCGGAGCCCGAGCCCGAGCCCGAGCCGGGCGCCCGAGCACAATCCATGCACCCGGCGCGGCCGCGCACCCGCCCGGCGCGCCCCGGCGGCGGCCCCCGCGCGCCCGGCGCCGGGCCCTCGGGGAGACCCGCGCCCCGCCCTCCCGGGGGCCCCGGCGGGCTCTCCGGGGGCCGCGCGCCCGGCCTCGCCCGCGGCTTCCACCGCGAGAGCACTTTGCCGAAGTTGGCGAAGTTGGTTCCAAGATGGCTCCTCGCGCGTCCCGGAGGGCGCCGCGCATCAACCTGCGGCGCCGGCCCCGGCGGCTCCAGGTGCCCGCGCGGGCCGGCGCGGCGTGGGAAGCGGCGGGCGGGGGCCGCGCTCCGAGCGGGCCGGGCAGCTCCGCGCGCGCAGACCCCGGGGCCGCAGAGCCCGGCGAGCGCCGCCCGCGCCCTGCGCGCTCTCCCCGCCCCCGGCCGCCCCGCCCCGCCCGCCGCCGCCGCGCATTGTTCCGCGGGGGGAGCGGCCCGGGGTGCGCGCCCGCGGGTCTCTATGGCGACGCGGGGGCGCAGCCGGGCGGGAGCGGGGGCCCGGCCCACTGCCCTGCGGCCTCCGCGGGGGGCGGGGCGAGGGAGCCCGCGGGAGAGGCGGGGCGGGGGTCCCCCGCCCGGCTGCCGCGTCCGGCGGGGCGCTGGCTCCCCCGGGGGCCCCGGCCCCCCCCCGAGCCCGCGCCGCAGCGGGACCGTCCTCGGAAGCCGCCGCCCGGGCGCTCGTGCGGGCCCGGGAAGGGGCGGGGGCGCGGGGGCGCCGGGCAGCGAGGCCGGGACGCGCCCCCCATTCGGGGCCGCGGCGACCCGGGGGCGCGCCCGCCCGACAGCGCCTCCCGGCTCCGAGCCCCCGGCGCCCCCGAGCTCGGGGCGCAACTTCTGACCGCGAAGCCGAGCAGGGCGGGCTCGCTCGGGGTTTGGGGCGCGGGCGGGAGGCCAGCCGGGCCTGAGCGCTCGCGCGCGCCGGCGGGTCCCAGGGTCTCCGCGCCCGGGGTGCCCCCCAGGCCTGCCGGCCCCGCAGGCGACTGGGGGGCGGGGCGGGGCGCGCGGGCTCACGCTCGCACACACACCCCCCCCCGGGCTCCTGGGGAGCCGCGGGGAGGGACCTCGGAGCCGCGGCCTCCCCGGGGAAGTAGGGGGGCTCGGGCGCCCGGTCATCTGGGGCGCAACGCCGCGGCCTCGCAGCGGGGCGCGCGTGGGCAGCCGCAGGCCCGATGGCCCCATAGAAGGGGCGCTGGGCCACCTCGCTCGCTCACCACTTTGGGGGTCCTGTGACGGGGGGGGGGGGCGCGTGCCCCGGCTGAGCCGCAGGGCGGGCAGCGTGGCTCGGGGGCGGGGAACGCGGCGGGGGCGCCTCCTTCCCGCGGGGCAGCGGGGCCCCTCAGCCCGGAGTGTCCACGGGCCGCTGGGAAGCGGGGTGCGGGCGGGGGAGGAAGCCCGTGTCTCGGGGGCCGGGAGGACCCCTCCCCGCGGAAGACCCGCCGGCCAGGTGGGGTCCGCAGGGCCCCCGAGAGCCAGGGGCGGGCGGGGCTCGGCCACTCGGGCTCGCGCCCCCACTTGCTGTTTCTGAAAAGTCAGACGCGGGCGCGGGGGCCGCTCCGGGGAGGCACCTGCGCGGCCGCCCAGTCCCGGAGCCGGAGCCGCGTCGGCCGCTGGCGCAGGCGGGGCTGGGCCCGGGGGAGCCGGGCGCCCGGGCGGGCGAGCGGGGGCCGCGGCGGGGCGGGGCGCGGCGGGGCGGGGCGGGGCGGGGCGCCTGTCCCGACCGGTGCGGGGCGCGGGCTCTGGGTGCGCGCGCGGCCCCCGCCCTTCCCGCGCGCCCTGCGCGGGCAGCCGAGCCCCACCTGCGCGGGGCGCCCCAGCGAACCTTCCTCCGACCCGCCGCAGCGCGTGACCTTGGGGCGCGGCCCCCTTCTGCCCGAGAGAGCAGCGGCCACGGCCGGGGAGGCACGACAAGGTCATCGCAAGGGGCTGGTGGGGACAGCGCCCCAGCTGTCCTCAGGGGCACCGGCCGAGGCCCAGGAGCCGCCTCGCTGCCCTGGGGCAGGGGTGGAACTGAGTGCGGGACACGGGCACAGCCTTGCTGGACAGATGGGGGTGCAGCCCTCCCCCAGCCCCAGGGGTGCGGCCACCCCAGCCGGCCACAGCTGAGGGACTTGCCCGCTCACCTGGGGCACCCCGAGGAGCAGCCCTCTCCCTCCCGCAGGCACCCAGCGACTCTGAGGGGCCCTGGGGGCATCAGGAGGGCCAAAGCTGCTTCGTGCCCACAGCCGCGGGCACCCTCCCTCTCCCCCGCCCCAGAAGCGCCCCCGGGAAGCAGCACTTTTTAAAATAGTTTCTTTACAGCCGAAGACACGCTGCCGAGCATGTTCCAAACGCAGCTCGGCCGGGCCGGAGCCAGAGGGACGTGCGCGGGACCTGGACCCCCCCCATGCCCCCCACGGCCCCCCACAGCTCCCCACAGCCCCACACCCGCATTCCTGGGTGGCTCTGCAGCCGCAGCCGAGCACCCAGCCTCCAGGCCCAGAAGCAAGCCCCGGCGGGCCCGTGCCCTCTTTTTGGCCTTCGGGGGGGAACCTCTGGGACGGGCGTCCACGGCCTTCTCCCCTCCCCGTGCCCCCCCTCTGGTGGGGTCTGACTTGTGGAAAGTTGCGGAAGCTGGAGCCTGGGGCAGGAAGGCGGCGGCTCCGGCTGGTCAGGCGGTGGAGCGAGCGAGAGCCCGGCCGGGCGCTCCAGGCACGGGGCTCCCGGAGGGAGGCAGTGCTGCGGCGGAACAGAAAACTTTCTGCTTGGAAGTTGCCAGAACCTGTCTAAGTCAAATACCACTTCCAAGCGTCCAGGCCTTGGACTGCGGCGCGGGCCCCTGGGCCTCTGGTGCGGGTCCCGGAGCGCCCGGCTCCCTGGGGTGCTCATGAGAACCGGCACCGGGCCCCCGGAACGGGCCTGGGATCCAGGAGAGCGCTGGAAGGCTCGGGTGTCCCCAGCTGCCGCCCTGGGAGCTGGGAGGGAGCAGGGACACAGGCCTGTCCTCCAGGCCCTCTGAGCCATCCTGGGCAGCCCTTCCGGGCCCACCCTGGGCTGCACTGGCCTCTAGTGGCCGAGCACGGTCCATGCCCCGCGTAGACGGCAGGTGCCACCGCCCTCCCGCCCAGCACCTGCCGAGCCGCCCGTGAGCAGATGGCATGGCCAGGAACGGGCCTAGCCTGGCTCCGTGGCCACGGCGCGGCCTCCCGAGAGTGACCCGAGCTGGCAGACACGGAGGGGCCGGCTCCGGCCCCGAGCACCCAGACACAGAGGGCGGCGCCAGGGGAGGTGGCAGGCTGAGGGGCTCCCGAGGGCAGGGGTACCGGAGCAGGCCAAGAGGGGCTGGCAGGGGTGCTCAGGGCCCCCCGGGGTGCACCACAGACACCCGTGCCGCTGTCATCGTCACTCTCCCTCTTTTCACGGCGCTCGTTCCGGCCCCCGGCACACGTGCTCGCCGCGTGCAGCCGAGGCGGGCCCGGCCGTCCCCCTGCTCCCCGGGGCTGGTGGCCTGTGCCGCCCTCGAGCCCCCGCTCGGTGCTGGCTCCCGAGAGGACTGCTCCTGCGCCCCAGCGGTGGACGGGCCGCCGGCCCCCCACGCCTGCCAGCACCTGTTGCCACGGTCTTTCTGGAAACATTCCTTATTTTCTTATTTTGCCATTTGACCACGGTCTGGTTGTCATCGGTGGCTGCAGGGACGTTGTTTGGGGACTTTCCTGCTGGGCTCAGGGCGAAGAACTGGAGCTGCCCGGGGGGCGGCCGGCTGAGCGGGCACTATTGCTCTCCAGGGAGAGCTCCTGACCCCGGCTGCAGGGAGGCAGGGGCACCCCGTGGCTAAACCTAGAGCTAAGGTCCCTCTAAGCCTCAGTGTCCACCCTGTAAGCCTCGGTGTCCACCCTCCAAGCCTCAGTGCCCACCTTCTAAGCCTCTGTGCCCACTCAATACCCTCTAAGCCTCAGTGCTCACCCTCTAAGCCTCGTGCCCACCCTCTAAGCCTCAGTGTCCACCCTCTAAGCCTCGGTGCCCACCCAGTGCCTCAGCAGCCGCGCACAGCAGAGTCCTCGCGGGGAGAGTGGGGTCAGGAGGGGCGGGCGGGGACAAACGCAGGCGCATGCCTTCAGAAGAAGGAAATCGGGGCGGACAGGGGGCTGTCTGGGGCAAGGCCATCTGGAAAGGCCTCCGGGCGACAGAGGGAGAGGCCGCAGGGACGAGGGGCCCGCCTTTGGGACGCCTGCCCGTGCACACCCCAGGCCAGGGGCCGCGCGGCCCCGCCAGGACTCGGTCTCCTGTGTGGGACGCGGGGCGCGGTGTGCGTGCTCCCAGGCCTCCGGGCGGTGCCGGCGGGCGGAGCGGGCACGGGGGTCACGCTCCGGGTCTGATGGGGCCTTGGAGAAGGGAGAGGTAAGTGGCCGGCGCTGCGCTGGAGCTTGGGGGGTCAGCAGGGCTGGCGGGGAGGAGGCAGGGCTGGCGGCGGAGGAGGAGGAGGGGACACACCTGTGCCCCGAGAACCGGGCCGCCCCTTCCCGCTCCGCGCCTCTCCCTCCCGCCTCAGGGTCCGCAGGGGAGCCCACGGAGGGCTGGGTGACGCGTCCTGGGGACCCCCGTGTGCAGCACCCCTGGGGAGCCCCATCTCCTCAGGTCTCTCCCAGCACCCCACGGCCCATTCTGGGAAGAGGGTGCCCAGGAGGACCCCTCTCTGTTGATTTCTCTTGCTCAACTCGCAAGGCTTGCCTGGGTGCCGAGGAATAGGGGGTCCAGACGGGGAAAGGCAGCCCCCAAGCCCGGCGAGAGCTTTCAGCCTGACAAAATCAAACAGAAGGTCCCCCAGCCCGGCCCAAGCTGGGCGCCGACCCGCCCCCTCTGTCTCCCCTGCGTGAGCCCCCCATCCGGGGACGCCGGTGTCGCCTCGGCTGAGGCCGGCTTGCTGGCCGGCAGGGCCCGCTATCTCGACAGGGC